TCTAAATAATTAAAATGGTGAATCTTATTTAGCCAACATATATCCTTCCTTCCTGAAAAAAGGTATGGAAAGAAAAACTAAGACAGTATTTTCACATTACCCTTGTCTTTTCTATATGTTCATTCTGTTTCCATCTGATGTATATGTGATCTGCATCTTAGGGGGTCATTTTTGGCTGATAATTTTCTGTTTGGGCAGCCACACCATTATGTAGATAGTATTGGAGCGATATGATAACTTATTTCTGCATCCCATTTTTAGTGCACATAGTAGCTTCTTATCAATCTTGCACTTAGTGGACTTTCTGGGTTGGTATTTTATGAGGCTGTCTGTCTGAAGATAATGAAGTGATGAAAGGCTTTTTACTGCATTAATTGTAATGAATGCATGAAGAAGGGCAGCCTCATTTAGTAGAAATAACAGAACAGAGAGCATGGGGACAACAAACTGTTCAAATCGTAGGTCTGACAAGGTGATATATAAAGCCCTCATCACTGTGGGTTTCCTTATTTTAAAATGGATAAGGCAATACCTGAATTGACATCTTATGGTAGAGATTATTTGAGATATTGTTGCTGGTAGTCTAGTGATAGGAAGCTGCACTGCCATCCCAAAGACATGTGGTTCAAATCCACAGAAGAAAGATGGGCACTGTTCTCCTGTTTGATTTACTGTCTCTGAAAACAGGGCTAGCTATGGTTCAGTGCCAGCTTGATGGTATGAAACAGTAACAGTATAATGACAATAGCATGTAATACATACTCCATAACTTGACATTTTTATTATTAATAATAAAGTCACAATAACACTAAGATACATCTCAAAGTCCCATTCTATTAGTTTCTCATCATATAGACTAATGAATATCTTTCACTTTGAGACATAATAGCCCATCTTTTTTTAATTGAGATTCTAATGAAAGATATAGAGAACATGGATTTCCATTCATTCATTGTTATACATTTTCCTCCCTGCCCACCCCCTCCCACAGTTTGCTTTTCTCTTTGAAAAGAAAAAAAAAATTCTTTCATTGTTTATACAATCCCATCCTCCCCACCCCACCCCCAATCCACTTTACTATGCAGCTCTTATTCTGGGCTCTTGTCATTTAAAAAATATCTAATCATATATCCCTTTTAAACAGTTATCTTCCTTATCTGTCTCAATGCAGGGTTTATTGTTTATCCCCTCTTTTCTTAGTTTTCCCCCAAACCCGATGTCAGTCCTATAATAGCCCATCTTAATGTTCCTCATCACTACATACAAATTATGATCAAATAATATTTTTATTATTAAAGTAATGTTCAGTATTATCTTTTAAATTTATGTCTTTCTTTTACCGGAATCTTAAAAAATATACCGAGCAGAAAATATTCTATTTGGACAAAACTAAGCACAAGCTCTGTTTCTAGATCCCAAAAAGCAGCTTGAATTATTTTTCTAAAGCAGTTGAAGAGGTTGAAATTCAAGTCCTGTGGATTCAAGTGAAAAAAATGACCGCCTACATGGAGCTGGGCTGGGTAATTGCCATGCTGCCCACAGCAGAGATCTCTAAAGCCAGCCTACGTGCAAAGGTTATGGGGTCTGAGTCATCACCATCCTTCTGTGCTGACTGACCAGGGATTGGAGCTCCTCGGGCCACTGGCTGCTGCTTTCTTTGTTGAGGGTCTCAGATACCCCATTCCACTATGCTACATGGGATTCCTGATGTTGTAAATCCTGTTGTTGTTGTTGTTTAGTGCTGTTAAGTCTGGTACGACTCATAGTAACCCTATGAACAGAGAATCTGAGCCCTATTCTATCCTGTGCCATTGTCACACTTCGTGACACACTAGAGCCCATTGCAGCAGTCACCACGTCAGTCCATCTGGTTGAAGGTCTTCCTTTCCTTTGCCAACCTGCCACTTTTCTGAGCATATGTCCCTCTCCTAGGAGTAGCCCCTCCCAGCAGCATGCCTGAAATATGGAAGGTGGAGCGTCATCATTCTTGCCTCCAAAGAGCACTCCAGCTGCACCGTCTTCAACACATATCGTTTGTTCTCTTGGCCGTCCATGGGCTCTTCAGCACTCTTCTCCAGCACCACCGTTCAAAGGCATCAATAATCCTTCTGTCATCCTTATTCATTGTCCAGCTCTCTGCTTGAATCAGACATCTTCGTGCTCAAACTTAACATTGCTTCTCAATTCTTTGGAGAGGTCCCTAACTGTAGACTTTCCCTAAGATGTAGTAAATCTTCCTGTTGTTTTTGTTGTAATGGGCCATCAAGTCGCCTGAGACTCCTAGTGACACTACATAGAACAGCCCTAAACGGTGCTTTATCCAGTGCTAATCTTATTCTCTCTAATACACTTACCCTGATTACCCCAGTCACTGAATCAATCCATCTCTTTGAGGGCCTTCCCCTCCTGCACTATCCTCTACCCTCCCAAGCATGATGTTTCTCTCCAAGAACTGGTCCCTCCTTGCAACATGTCCAAAGTATGTTAGACGAAACTTCAGAATCCTTGCCTCCGAGGAGCAGCCTGGTTTAACCTTCTCCAGGACAAACCTGTTCATTCTCTTAGCAGTCCGTGATGCATTCAATACTAGGATATATATAAATAGTACATAATCTATTGTATCCAACTTTCTCTCAGTAATGTGTAGTGCACTATGATGTGGAGTTTATCTAATCATATTCCAGCCCAATATGTAGCTTGATTTGTGTTATTTCAGTGCTCAAACCACTGTTGAGTAGGACATTCCTATAGGACAGGCTGGGACAGCCCCATGATTTCCAGGATGTCAGAAGCAGACTGTCTCATCTTTCCCCCATGGAGCGCTTGAAGGTTCATACCACCAGCCTTTTGGTTACTAGCCAAACACTAGAACCACTGTGCCATCTAGTAGGAGTACTTAAGTGGTTGAAAGAATCCAGGCCCTAGACAAGTAACAGCTATGACACTTTTATTTTCTTAATGTTAATAAGATGTGCATATAATAGAAAAGAAATCTGAAAATGAAACAACCATTCTTTGTGACATTTGATCGTCGACACAAACAGAACTACTGGTGGCTTCTTAAGATTGAGCCCTTTTAAGATTTTACGACTCCTTTCTTTTAGCTGAACTTCTTGCTGTTTAAATGCCTGGAGTTCATATGTGGGCATCCTGATTGGTTGGTTTTTTAGTAATTTTAATGAGCATTTACAGAGATTTTGGATTTCCACTCATTCATTGTTGCATTTTTCTCTATGCCCTACTCACCCCCACCCCAGTTCTTTCTTCTCTTTGAAAAGTAAAAGAAAAATTCTTTCATTAATATACAATACCCCACCCCAAGTCCACTCCACTATGCAACCTTCATTCTGGGCTCTTGGCATAATGATAATACCCAATCATATATCACTGTTAAACTATTCTCTTCCTCATCTGTTTCAATGTAGTATACATAGTTTATCCAATTGTTTTTAAAGGTTCCTCTCCTGCTGTTTCCAATAATATCGTTGTTTGCTGTGTGTGTAGGAACTATTGGCTTGTCAGGAGAGCTGCAAGAAAACCCTGGCGCAGGTGGAGAAGGGCAGCCATGGGGTCCAGAAGTTTGTGACTTTGAGCGACGTGCTGAAGCATTTCGATCAGACGAAGCTGCAGAGACAGATTGCTGACATTCACGTGGCTTTTCAGGTAATTTGTTCTCAGTGTTTGAGAGTAATGAGCTGAGGACAATACAAAAAGAGGACTCACATGCCTCATTCATCATGTTTCCAGCTTGCCCAGGTCCTCCACCTACTGGTGTTTGGAAACCAATCATTCTACTTCTGGGTTTTCATAATATTAGCGAATCACAAGAGGGGAAAAAACCCCACTAAAAACTAAACCAACCACACAACAAAAAAACCAACCCACAGAACCCAAACAAGTCACATTGCTGAGTCAGTTCCAACACATACTGACTGGACAAGTCAGAGAAGAACTGTCCCATACTTTTTCTAAAATAATAAATATTATGGGAACTGCTACATCGTTTCCCCACAGAGCAGCTAGTTGATGTAAACTGCCCACCTTTCATTTACATGCAAACAGCTTCACCAGGGTCCCAAGAGTGCTCCTCTTAATCCCAAAAGAAGTTAATTACTCCATTCTGATTTTCTGTCTTTTCTTAAGTGCTTGCTTTAAGAGATATGTTTGTCTAACAAAATGTTACTTTCAATAATGAGGAAACAGCATCACGATTATTTTATTTCTTCTTATTGTCATTTGATTTGATGATTTTTTTTTTTCAAACATCAAGAATATGGTAAAGAAAACTGGAGATTGGAAGAAACACGTGGAAACCAATAGTCGCCTGATGAAGAAGTTTGAGGAGTCTCGGGCCGAACTGGAGAAGGTGCTGCGAGTAGCTCAGGAAGGTCTGGAGGAAAAGGGGGATCCAGAGGTCCTCTTGAGGAGACACACTGTGAGTTCAACCCTCGGGGCTGTCACGTGGACACACGACAGGCCATCCTGAGACAGATAAACATACATATAAGCATACACACATATCTTCATTTATGTGTCTGTATGTACACACACACACACACACACACACACA